TCCAAGGAAGGAAGTGAGTTCGGGATCTTGCTGCCCCATCATCTTGGAGCCCTTCCTCTAACATGTATATTTCTTTATGAAATATTAAAGTATTTATAATATTCACTTGCCTATCCGTGTGTTAAAGCTCAGTATTTGATCCCTTGGTTAAGTTTTTTTGTTTTTTCTCTAGGAGGGATATGTTACTTTCTAAGTTGATTCCTGGGTCTTTAGTATTTGTCATGCTATTTTGAATATCATCTCCTATGTTAACAAATTGTCTAACACATTATTACTGGTACAGAGGCAACATAATTTTTAAGGTATTTATATTATACCTCATTTTATTTCAGAATTTAGTTCATATCCCCAATAAGTTTTTACATTTTATTTGATTTTTATTGATTCAAGATAATTTCCTAACTGCTATTTAACATTTCTGTAAATTAAAATCTGTATTATGATGGAAACAATATATTTTTAAAAATGAAGGCCAATTTTTCCATAACCCCAAAGAGTGCAATTGCCAGTCCAGAAAAACATTTAACAATCTATACATCAGTGTGGAGAGTACAAAAAAAATCATTCTAATACCTGTCTTCTCCATACAATCTACTTCCTGTTTTTTGCAACTCTTTACTCTGAATTCTCTAAATCTATATTTTTTCCAAGACATTTCTTCTTACTTCTGACACTTAACCTAGTGTTAATTATTAATATGGAAGGGCTATTGGATACTCAATAAAGAATTACTTATTCCATTACCTTTGAACTCTATCAGAAAAAAAAAATCTCTCAAGGAGAAGTGGTGAGTTGAAGAACCCATCTGAGAGACAAGTCAGAATGGTATACAAAAGGACTACACTAGAGCTAGAATGAAAAAACCTGGGTTTGAGAATTTGACTCCATTGTTTACTATCTGGATGACTGAGGATAATTTACTTAATTTTTCTCAGTCACATTTTCATCTATAAATTGGAACTAAATAATAAATAAATAAAGTAGCAAATAAAGAATAAATAACAATAATCATAATAACAATAAACTCACTTTCAAATCCCTAATGCCCAGCATACAGTCAGTGCTCAAACAATGCCTGTTGAATGACTGATTTGTCACCATTCTAATTGGTCTATAGATAGCAGGGATGGAGTAAATATTTAATGTTGTAAGCCTCAGTGGAGATAATAACATAAAAACATCCTGTGAACTATAAAGCACTCTACAAATGCGAGGGGTTTTTACAAGCCTAAAGGAACATGATAGTTTTCACTCTTAGAAGATAGAAAATTTCAAAACACCATATTTCCATCTGCTACAATAAGATGGTAGCAACAGCAATTTCAGCATTGTGTTGTAAGACCAAGGTTTAAAAACTAGGCTTCATGCCCAAAAGCTCCCATGCAGACATGGGTGCGTCTTCCTGACTAAGCAAAGCAGCATTGAGAAGCACTAAGTGGGGAGACAGAGCTGTTCAGAATTATACTGTGACCCAGAAGTAGCCCTCCAGGTGAGCTGTGGACTCCCTCTACTTCCTCTAGGCCCTGGGAAAGGCAATGTCAGAAGACGAGATGAAAACATATGGATAGAGAACAGCAAGCTGACAGCTGAGGCTCTGTTTTATAATAACACACAAAAGTAACAGCTATGCTAGTTAAAATGGGATTACTTTAAAATATATTCATATATATATACATATATATACACATACGCGCACACACACACACAGACACGTCTTAAAAACTGGGATAGAGAAGTTGTCTCAAGAGGCAGATCAAATCAGATGAAGAGTCAGGATTTTGCAAGCTCTTGTCCATAACACTGATGCACAACACTGAAAGTTGGGAGAGGACCAAGATTCACCCCTTCTATGCCAGGGTCCTAACCAATGAATGCAAGAAACTGACACAATGCATTAGCTACGAGTACATAGCCAGACAAGCACCCAATGACCTTCAAATGAGGGGGAAGCGTGGTAAATGGCTTTGGAGAATGTAGCTTTGAGTTCAGTGAATAACTCTTAATTCCTTCAGAAACCTGGATCTTGGCGTCAACCCATGTGAGGACAGCTGGATCTGCAGAGGACATGTGTTCTCGCACTCAGTTGGTGAAAAGAAGAGAATAGCTCGCCCCAAACATCAGCAGCATCAGGATGCAGCACACAACAAAGCAATAGATGGTCTGGTGCTGCCTTTTTAATTTAGTCATCCTATCCCCTAAGAAATGTGGTACAGTGAATGTACCCAGATTTGATCAATCATATTATTTATTCCTCCTACATGGTGAAGAATAATGAGAAAAAGTATGGGGACAGAACTTCCTTCCTCAGTGAATATTAAGGGAGAGAAATACTATACTTTCCTTTAAAAATCATTATTTGTATCTGCTTTATGTCTAAGCGATACACCAAAGAAATTCCATGTAAATAATATGTGAAATCCACGTATTGGAGATTGCAGTGGCTTTAATAAGTATTCTATATTCAAGGCAATAATATAATCATTGGCAATTGCTCACATATTGATACAACTGTAAATACCTAGGTTCAGAATCTAAGATACATAATCTTTTACCAAGGAATAAATTATCAAAACAGCATAAGAAGTTACTGATTAAAGAAAGATCATGTTATTGTAACCACCCAGTCCAGTTTTTATGCCCAACTGTAACACCTTCCTCATTTAGACATCATTGATTTGCATTTTTTGTAGTCGTAATTGAACCAAAACAGGGTTGTATAAGTCAGAAGGTAATGCTTGGAGACAATCTCCCTCATATTAACAAAGTCCAGAGATACTTCGAAGAACCATTAAGCACTTGAGAAGTCCTGAGTCCTACACATGATAAGGCCAGACTTAGACCTCAAAATGACCTTGTGATTTATAATGAAATCTCATTTTATAGATGAGAAAGGTGAGCACTGGGAAGTGAAGAGATTCCCAGAGCCACAAAGCAGCAGAATCAAAACCAGATCTTCCAGTCACAAATGAGAACTTTTTCTACACAATGTTATACCCTCACCCTGCTTTATTTATAACAAAATACTCTTATTAAGCATATTCTTACATTTAATTTGGCCACACTCTATTGGCCCATATTTAGCTGCAGACTTATGCTATGAAGCTACATTTCTTGTTAACTACTCCACAATTCAGAATTTCAGTGAAGCAGAATGGTCTTCCCATTGGAACATCTGCATTGTTTGCTGTTATTATTTTGTTTGACCATTTTATATTATTATTATCATTATTATTATTATTATTATTACTATAGCACATTGCTTAAGGAATTAAAAATTAAAAGATAATGGTTCTTATTACTACTTATTTGTAAAATAGAAAATAGCTCTAGAGAAAATGCTCATTATTTGCATAGATTCTCCTATGTAAATCTCAGAAGGGACACATGGATTTTCTATGTGATTGATATGATCAATGATCTACATTGTCTTCCCTACCACATAGAATCTCAAGAGATAAGATAAAGCAACAAGAAGAAACAATTTCATATTAGGCAGAGTATGCTTTTTTGGTGCTCGAAGACCAATTCCAATTTGTGTGTGTGCATGGTGCTCCAACAAATACAAACAAGCAATTCTCAGATACCAGTAGAGTGTCCAAGAATTCAACTTAGTTCAACTTATTTCTGACACTGTCTACCCAGAAGTCCCATCAGATTCCACAGGTTAAGGGGTCAGTCCAAGATTGTCCCTCTCCCACATCAGACACCAGTCACTAGACCCAGGCTTCTAACTTCTGGTTGCAGATTGGGGGTTCAAATAACCTCCTTAGGATTTATTAATTTACTAAAGCCGCTCACAGAACTCAGGTACACTTACATGTATTAGTTTACTAAAGGTTATGCGAAAGAATACAAATACACAGGCAAATGAAAAGATACGTGGCTTGAGGTCCTGAATAAAAGAGCTCCTGTCCCACTAGAGCTTGGAGTCAGGCTCAGTGGCCTAAGGGAATATTCTGTTTCCCTACATGTGTAAGCTCTCCTGAAAAAAACAAACAAACAAACAAACAAAAAAAAAAAAAACAGCTGTCCTCTTGGGTTTCTTCAGAGGCTTCATTACATAGTCATGATTAAGTCATTGGCTATTGGCTGATTGAACCTCCACCCTCTCTATACCCCAATGAGGGCAAGAGGATTGTGGGACTGAAAGTCTGGACCTGTTAATCACATGGATGGTCCTCCTGGCAATCAGTCCCCTCTCTTGGGTGGAGACCAAAAGCAACCTTCAGTAATAACAAGATACCTATGTCACTTGTATGATTCTGAGGCGTTTTCAGAAACTGTGGTTAAAAATCAAATATATCTTCAGATGACCAACATATGTTTTTCTCTTTTTTTTAAAGATTGATTGATTGATTTGACAGAGAGAGAGAGAGGACAAGTACAGGGATCAGTTGAGGGAGAGGGACCAGCAGGGAGATGTGGGACTCGATCCCAGGATCCCAAGATTATGACCTGAACCAAAGACAGATGCTTAGTTGACTGAGACACTCAGGTTCCCCCACAACATATATTTCTTATAAATCATTATATCACACATGCTAAACGGATTTAGGTCAAGTTCTACTGTCTGCTCATCTTTTTTTCTCTATTCTTAGAGGTAGAAATTCCTAATGATGGGGAAAATTGTCCTTAAATGTAAGTGCAGGGCCACCCTAATCCTATTATGTTAGGCTCCTCATTCCCCAATCACAGCTTCCACTCTTTCTTTTATGATGCCTAGAAACACCTCCAGTAGAAGTAACTGTGTGTAGCCTTCTAGCTCAAAAGTACTTCCTATTCTCTTTCTTTATCCAAATCCTTTCACCTTTGAGTACCCAGCTCTAGGAAACCTTAGTTCTAACATCAGTTCTACAATTTACTAACTGTGTGAAAAAGGACAAGTCAGGCAAATCATTCAATTGCTCTGACCCTCCTTTCCTGAGCTAGAAAATAAGATAATAACAGTATCTTCTCTATAGAAAGTCACTTTATAGAAAATGCATCACAAAAATACTCACCAGCATTAGTTGGGTGATGGCAAGTGATGTTTTAGATTATTATTTTCTTTCCAGTAGAGACACTTTACTACTCCAGCAGGAACATTTCAACCTATATGAGGAAAGCTGAGTTGGCTGGCACTATAATTTCTAGATCATTCCAGGGACAGTTTAGAATGTCTTGTGGTTCAGTGACTGAGAAGTTGCTCTGGTAAACCACCCTTTATCTAGCTCTGAGAATAGGGCTGCATTGGTTTCTGAGAGCTGTGAAAACAAAATATAAAAAAAAAAAAGAAAGAAAGAAAGAAAGCAGCAATTTATTGTCTCATAGTTCTAGAAGCTAGAACTCTGAAATTCATGTGTCAGCAGGATCATGCTTGCTCTGCTGGCTTTAGGAGAGAAGTCTTCCTTGCTGCTTTTAGCTTCTGGCATGTGGCAGCAATCCTTGGTCTTCTTGGACTATAGATGCAGCACTCTTACATGGCTCCTCTCCCATGTGTCTTCACATCATCTCCTTTCTATGCATTTCTGTCTCTATATCCAAATTTCCCCTTTTTATAGGTATATTAATCATAGATTATTAGAGCCCTCTCTAAAGACTTAATTTTAACTTGATTACCTCTGGAGACACTCTTTCCAAATAAGGTCACATTCTGAGGTACTGGGGTTAGGACTTCAACATACCTTTGGTTGGGGAGGAACAATTCAACCCATGACAAGGGTGTAACATAAAGTTGACATGGTCATACAGTAAGTTAATGATCACATAGTAAGTTGACCATCAAAATAGGTCTATTATTTTTATTATATTATTGCCAGCATTCTTCAGCATAGCAGTGTATCTTCTCTACTTTATGCACATTAGTCTTTTCTCTTCAAATGAACTTAAGTTCATTGACAAGAAAAGCTATGTTTTATTTATTTACTCTTATATTTATATATTAGTCTGCTAGGGCTGCTGTAGCAGAAGACCACAGACTAGGAGGCTTAAACAACATAAGTGTATTTCTTCACAGTTTTGGAGGCTGAAAGTCCAAGATCAAGGTACCATCAGGTTTGGCTTGTGGTGAAATGTTTCTCCACTGAATACATATGGCTGCCTTTTCGCTTTGTCTTCAAGTGATCTTTTCTCTGTGCATGTGCATGACCGGTATTTCTTCATCTTTCTAGGAGGACACCAGTTCTATTGAATTGAGTTCTCACCACTATGATCTTATTTATACTTATTTCCAAGTATAGTCACATTGACCATTAGGACTTCAACAAATGAATTTTGAGGGACACAATTCAGTCCATAACAATGACATTCTGTCCTAAGCAGAGGTTTAGCTATGTGGTAGTAATTAATCAATATGTTCCACTTAGCAAAATCTTCACATATTCACTAGAAGAAGAGAAAAGAAATTCTCAAAAGACTATGTGGTGGGAGAGTATTCTCTACCTGAATTATTTTTCTCTATATGTCATTTCTTTGAAGGACAAATATGACGTGAACTTCTAGATAAAGCAACACCACAGAACTATCTAAATATTTGTTTCAAGTCAGGCATTTTGCTGAATCCAGAGAAGGATCTTGAAACAAAATTTACACTTTCCAACCAATCCTTAAGTCCTTATTTTGTTGATGGTAAACAATATACGGGTTGAAGGCAAAGCATAAGCCTGGTCTCTTTTTTGAAATTTCCAGAGTATTACAGTAAAGCTGCTGCTTCACCCTCTAAAGGCATGTGTAGAAGGCTCCTTTTCCCAAGACACTGTAAAGACTGACCTCCAGAACACTATCCTCTTATGCTTTGAAAGACACAGGACTGGCCACAACACAAACTCCAAAAAAAGGTATGATAAAATCCATGCATCCTGCATCCAGCTCACCAGGAACTCTGGTCAAGTGACATGGTGTCCTCTCACAGGTCTGCTAAGTGGCAGACCCATCAATGTCTGTGCAACCTGTGAGAAGCTGGGACTCTCTCATCTTATTATAACTGCCAGACACTATCTCTCCTATCTGAAAGCGGGGTGCCAGGAATTCTGCTGTCACAAATGTCCCATGAGTGGGGCCTAAGCATTTCAAACAGTCTTCATAGTAATTTATCCTCTGTTTGGATGTGGGAGGAGGGAGGAGTGGATCTCGGGTAGGTTTTCTAGAAACTTGATGTCTTGTAGAAAGTCATTTTGCTCTGATCATTCCTATATTCTGTGACCACCCCATCAACATTTACAAATTTAAAGTGGATTATTTTGAAAAAAAAATTTTTAAGTGGATTATTTTGGCACTCTGTTAGTAGCCCAATAACCATCCATCCATCCATCCATCCATCCATCCATCCATCCATCCTTTTCTTAGCAAATCATTTATCAAAGGTAACTACTGTGAGCTATACCTGATACCAGGCAATGGGACATAGAGGTGATCCAAAGAGACTGAGCCTCTGTCTTCAAGGAGGCTACTGAATTGTAGATGGCCCACCTCCAACTAGAATTGAAGGCAGAAAAAAGGTCTCCGGAGTCTTTTGTATTCACCCACAGTGGCTGAGGCAGGGTTATGCTCACAGCAGGTGCTCAATAAATAACTGGTGAGTCACAAACCAGATGTTCAGGGTCAGCTTTGTTGCCTGGATAGCTGCTGATTTATGACTCCATATGGTGACCTTCTCTAACCTTCTCATTGCCTTCTCTCAGTGCTGCATCCTTCTTCCCTCTGCATCTAGTCCTCCATTTCTAAGAGCACAAAACATGCTCCTTTCCCCTTCTCACTCTTTACATCCTGACTAGACCAAGTAGAACAGAAAAAGTGAAGGAGTTGGGGAGGTTTCTTCCTCTGTTCATGCAAGCTACCAGACAGACTGGCTGGGCTGTTTCTCCAGATGAAATACAAAGTTAAAACCATTCCCAATCACATTAACCATTGTCAGGAAGAAGCTGATTAGTTTCAAAGCATGATAATGCAGAGAAAATCCTAATTAAGAGAAATGAGGGAATCTAACACATATCATCAGTCATTGTGCTGTCATCCTTACTCATATAACAAGAGGTGGTTTGTGCCAAGAGTCTGGCTATCGCTTTTGAAAGAGAACTATTTATAATTAGAGTTGTGTTGAATATTTAAAAGTTGCAAAATTACCATGTCTCCAGGGGAAAAATGTCTGCGGAACCATGCAACTGCAAATCCAGAAAGATTTCTGATCCATTTAAGAGCTTCCAATTTTGTATTAAACAAGGAAAATGGGCCATAGCAATTAAAAGAAACCTGCGTTTTATAAAACCATCCAGCTAATTAATTGTCATCTCAAAAATGCTACTAAGCTTATAGAGTGATGATGAATGTCACATTTAATGATTATTCAGTAAATTGAAATTTGAGGTTCATTTTTTTTGCAGATTTTATAGACTACTTAATAAATAGTTCCTCCTATGTCCAGCGCTATTTATCTAGTTCCTCTAGCCATCCAATACTGGAGAAAAAAACCCACCAGAAATGAAGCTCTAAGTACCAAAATAGCTATTATAAAGCCCATGTGCTTTTATTCAGTGGGAAGCCCTCAGAGCCTCACTGAGGCACTTTTTTTTTTAAACTTTATATTATAAAAAACTTCAAACTACAGAGAAATAGGGAGAAGAGTATAATGACTCACTCTACCCATCACACAGCCTGGACAAATATCAACTCATGGCTAATTTAATTTCATCTATACCCTATCTACTTCCTTTCTCAACCTTAAGCCTTAATTGTTCCAAAAATAAATATGGTTAATATAATGGTTATATTAGAGATGACATAATACTGTGAAGAATCCAATACAGTGCCTTGCACACACTTAAGGAAGCAGTGTCAGCTATTATACCTAAAACGTTTAAAGTAAAAATATTAGCAGCAGTATAAGAAGTAAATTCTCTGGAAATTTCCAGAAAATAGTCTATTCTCTTGGCTTCTGTGATGCCAAGAAAGCCTTTCTGGCTGCTTGCTCCTTCTTAATCATCATTGAAGGCACCTCTTGACACATGACCATTAAATGTTTGAATTCTTCAAAGCTTGGTCCTAATTCTAACTTGCTTTTTCTCCCCCTCTACAGTCTCAGTTTTTTGTTTATCAACTCCCATGTCTAAAATCACCATCTATATGCTTGCAACTCAAGCCAGATCTTACTTCTTAGCTCTGAATTTATAACCAATTCCCTGACAGACATCTTCACCTGAATATTCCAGAGCATTTATGAACTTGTCCAGAACTTTGTTCCTATTTATCTCTGTTTTACATATCTATTGCTACATAATGAATCACTCCAAACTTAATGGTTTAAAACAGAAAATTAGGGATGCCTGGGTGGCTCAGGGGTTGAGTGTCTGCCTTTGGCTCAGGGCGTGATCCCGGTTCAGAGGATCGAGTCCCACATCGGGCTTCCTGCAGGGAGCCTGCTTCTCTCTCTCCCTATGTCTCTGCTTCTCTCTCTCTCTCTCTTTCATAAATAAATAAAACTTAAAAAATAAATAAAACAGAAAATTATGTTTTTTCATGATTCTGTAGGTTATTTGGATGGTTTTCATACTCCATGTGGTGCGACTAAGGTGCTAAGAAGGCTGGAAGTTCCAAAACTCACATGACTGGTGGCTGATGCTGGCTGCTGGTGGGAAGTTGGATGGGGTGTTGAGTCACAGTATGGTTTGCCTCCCCATGAGCTTTTCCATGTGCTCCCTTACAGATGACAATTGGATTCCAAGAAGGAGCATTCTAAGAGATGAAGCCAAAGACTGCAGTTCTTTGAAGATCAAGTTTCAGAAGAGTACAGCATCACTTCCCTTTCACTGTGTTCTATCAGGACACAGCAGGTCAAGGGACCAACCCAGACTCAAGGAGAGGGGAAATAAATCCTATCTTTTACTGGAAGAATAGTAAGGTCACACTGTAGAAAAGCAAGCCAGATGGAAGATATTTTTGCAGCCATCTTTGGAAAACAAAATTCTCTCTGTGTTCTTCTTCCAGAGTTCCCCTTTTCATAAATGGTATTACCATCTACCCAAATGTTCTCACTATGATTACCCACCTTTACCCTCAACCTCTACATTTCTTCAATCACTGAATGTTTACACTTTTTCTTCTAATTCCTATTTCCTTCTCTCTGTATCCACTGTCACAACTTAGTCCAAACATCATCATCCTCTATCTGGAAACCTGAAAGAGACTTTCAATGGTTACTCCATTTCCAGTTTGGCTATCTTTACTCCATTCTCCCTATAATGGAAAAAAA